CATCAGCATCAGCATCATCATTAGCATCATCATCAGCAGCATCATCAGCATCATCATCATCATTATCAGCAGCAGCATCATCATCAACCCCCGCCCCCTCCCCTCACCCCTTCCCCCTCCACTCCTCCTCCTCCTCTCCTCCTCTCCTCCTACCCTCCTCCTCCTCCTCCTCCTCCTCCTCCCCCCCCCTCATCCTCCTCCTCCTCCTCCTCCTCCTCTCCTGCCTCCCCTCCTCCTCCTCCTCCTCCTCCTCCTCCTCCTCCCCTCCTCCTCCTCCTCCTCCTCCTCCTCCTCCTCCTGCCTCCATCCTCCTCCCCCCCTCCTCCTCCTCCTCCTCCGCCTCCTCCTCTCCTCCTCCTCCTCCTCCTCCTGCCTCTCCTCCTCTCCTCCTCCTCCTCCTCCTCCTCATCCTCCTCCTCCTCCTCCTCCTCCTCCTCCTCTCTCCTCCTCCTCCTCCTCCTCCTCCTCCTCCTCCTGCCTCCTCCTCCTCTCGCTCCTCCCTCCCTCCTCCTCCTCCATCCGCCTCCTCCTCCTGCCTCCTCCTTCCTTCCTCCTCCTCCTCCTCCTCCTCCTCCTCCTCTCTCCTCCTCCTCCTCCTCCTCCTCTCCTCCTCCTCTCCTCTCCTCCTCCTCCCCTCCTCTCCTCCTCCTCCTCCTCCTCCTCCTCCTCCTCCTCCTCCTCCTCCTCCTCCTCCTCTCCTCCTCCTCCTCCTCCTCCTCCTCCTCCTCCTCCTCTCCCCCCTCATCCTCATCCTCCTCCCCGTGCTCCTCCTCCTCCTCTTACCATTGGTGGGCGGATTTTTATCAATCGTACAAATATGGTCCCATGAATAAGAATATCAACACGATCATTCGTGATCGTATCGATAGTCTCCGTGTTATCCATTTTCTGATTCGTCGACGTATTCTCAGTCGAAGTCTTAGCATTCATCTTGATAGTAGGTGCTGTAGTCTTAATTGTCGTAGTAGTATTATTATGATGCGTCGCATGGTTATTATTAGTAGTATTAGTAGTATCGTTGCTCGTCTTCCCATTAATATCCATATTACTCGTACAACTAGTATTCGTCGTAGTATTATTTGTGTGCTGATTCTGCTTCGTGGTATTACTCTTCATATTATGATTGGTCTGCATGTGTTTCGTCCTCTGCGGGTAGTCAGAGTGAGGAGGCCAAACGGTCATTCTGTGTCACTGGGTGCGTGGCTGAAGTGGAATTCCGCGGTGCGGGTTCTCGTTGTTGTTGTTGTTGTTGGTGGTGGTGTTGTTGTTGTTGGTGTTGGTGTTGTTGTTGCTGCTGTTGTTGTTGTTGTGTGTTGGTGTTGTTGTTGTTGGTGCTGCTGTTGTTGCTGTTGTTGTTGTTGTTGTTGTTGCTGTTGTTGTTGGTGGTGCTGTTGTTGTTGTTGTTGTTGTTATTGTTGTTGTTGGTGGTGTTGTTGTTTGTTGTTGTTGTTTTTGTTTGTTGTTGTTTGTTGTCGTCGTCCCACCCGCAACCCGCCCAGCGACCCACCCGCGACCCAACCCGCGACCCACCCCGCGACCCACCCGCGACCCACCCGCGAACCACCCGCGACCCACCCCGCGACCCACCCCGCGACCCACCCCGCGACCCACCCCGCGACCCACCCCGCGACCCAACCCGCGACCCACCCCGCGACCCCCCCGCGGCCCACCCCGCGACCCACCCGCGACCCACCCGCGACCCACCCGCGACCCACCCGCGACCCAGCCGCGACCGACCCCGCGACCCACCCGCGACCCACCTTCGACCCAAACCACGTTCAAGGTACAAACCACAATTTTCGGCGCCTGCGGCGGGCTTTTTTGCATCCCTTCCAGGTGGAGAGCCCGCGACCCACCCCGTGACCAACTCGCGACCAACCCGCGACCCAAACCACGTTCAGGGTACAAACCACATTTTTCGGCGCCTGCGGCGGGCATCCTTTGCATTCGTTTCAGGTGGAGAGCCCGCGGCCCACCCGCGACCACGTTCAGGGTACAAACCACATTGTTCGGCGCCTGCGGCGGGCATCTTTTGCATTCGTTCCCGGTGGAGAACCCGCGGCCCACCCGCGACCCAAACCACGTTCAGTGTACAAACCAATTTTTGGGGCGCCTGCGGCGGGCTGCTTTTGCATTCCTTCCAGGTGGAGGTGGAGAGCCCGCGACCCACCCGCGACCTAAACCACGTTCACTGAACAAACCAATGCCGCACAAGCGCGGCGGCGGATTTTTGCATGCCGCCTGAGCCCGCAAGGACCTCTTCAAGCCCCGCGCATCCACACCAGCCCGTCCAGCAACTCTGCCCTGGCGAGTTGCCTTAATCAAAGAAGGCGGGGATCATAAAGTGGAAGAAAGGATTGCGTTGCAGTTATCTTGGGGAAGGAGGGGGAGGCAGGAGGAGTAAACAGGGGACGAGGAGAACGCGGAAGAAGAGAGGATGTAAGGATAATGTGGAGAAGGAAAAGGAGGAGGAGCAGGAGGACGAGGAGGGGGAGGAGGGGGAGGAGGAGGACGAGGAGGGGGAGGAGGGGGGGGATGATGATGATGATGATGGACGACAATGGGAGGACGATGATGGAGGCCGATGAGGGGGAGGACGACAATGGGGGGACGATGATGAAAGGACGAAAGGGGAGAGGGAGGACGAGGAAGAAGAGGAGGAGGACGAGGTGGAGGAGGAGGAGGAGGAGGATGACGATGACGATGAGGACGAGGACGAGGACGAAGAAGAGGAGGAGGAGGAGGAGGAGGAGAGCGCCATCGACAGGGAAGGTGGGGCCACGAGGTCCGCCGGCTCGACGACGCCCGCGTCGCCCGCGCCCGCCCCCTCACTCTTATCCGCAATTGCGGGGTGCTACGTAGTACTAAAATTCGTCCACCTCCTCCTGTTCCTGCTCCTCCTCATCATCACCATCCTCCTCCAACTCCAACTCCAACTCCTCCTCCGCCTCATCCTCCTCCTCCTCCTCCTCCTCCTCCTCCTCCTCCTCCTCCTCCTCCTCCTCCTCCTCCTCCTCCTCCTCCTCCTCATGCGGGCCTCGCCCTCCCTGACCCTCCCTCCTCATCTCATTGTCCCTCGCTCCTTGTCCGTTTCCCTCTTCATCATCCCTCGAGCCCCCTCCCCCCCTCCTCCTCCTCCTCCTCCTCCTCCTCCTCCTCCTCTCCGTCCTCCTCCTCCTCTCCTCCTCCTCCTCCTGCTCTCCTGCTTCCTCACTGCATTCCTCCTCCTCTCCTCATCCTCCTCCTCCTCATCATCATCATCATTCATCATCATCATCATCATCATCATCATCATCATCATTCATCATCATCATCACATCATCCATCATCATCATCACATCATCATCATCATCATCATCATCATCATCATCATCATCATCAATCATCATCATCATCATCATCATCATCATCATCATCATCATCATCATCATTCACATCATCATCATCATCAGCGAGCAGCAGCAGACAGCATCATCATCGATCATCATCATCATCATCCATCTATCCATCATACAGCATCCTCATCATCATCATCATCAGTTGAGCATCATCATCATCATCAGCATCGTCATCGTGATCATCAATCATCATCATCATAATCAGCATCTCATCAGCAGCATCATCATTATCATCATCATCATCATCAGCATCATCTCATTCATCATCAGCATCATCATCGTCATCATATCGTCGTCGTCTCGTCGTCGTCATCATCTTCATCATCATCATCATCATCAGCAGCATGCAGCATCATCAATCATCATCATCATCCCCCTCCCCATCCCCCTCCTCCTCCTCCTCCTCCTCCTCCTCCTCCTCCTCCTCCTCCTCCTCCTCCTCCTCCTCCTCCTCCTCCTCCTCCGTTGAGATGCACTACGATCGTCCCTCTTTCCATGTTAGGCCATGGCGGGCATTTAATGCAGTTTCGGCCTCGAGGGCCGTGCGATGTGTGTCGGGCCTGAGGAGGCCCCGACATAGCAGCTGCCGCCGCTGACGCGCCTCGTTCCATAACCGTTCTGGCTCCGAAGAGCTCTTGAGCGCACGGGTTCAACCTGAAAAGTCTTCGACGGCGGCGGCCGCCACTTGATAGTAGCGGAGCTGGCCGACTCGCCCTCGGTCAGCTCCCGCCTCCGCCGCGGCAGCGCGGAGGTGAACACGATCACGCCCCCAGCGAGGGCGGTGGCCGTCCAGCAGGGAGCTGGAGGGCATCCACGGCGAGGAGGCTGGCGGCTCATCGTGCTGGGCCTGGGCGGCTTGGCGCACAATACCGGCAGCGACGAGCCTGATACGCTCAACGTGTGCAATACCAGCAGCGGTGAGCCTGACAAGCTCAGCGCGTGCGTCAGTGCGACTGGAGCTGTCGACGTGCCTAACGTCAAGATGGCGAAGGTCAGCAATCTGGAGCTCGAGAAGGACATCCCGCTCTGTGACGGTGACCCGGCACTCTTCGAGGAGTACCAGGAGAGAGCTCGTGACGCCTACTTCGGCCGCATGGGCGACGAGAAGCAGATCGCGACGCCGATCAACCTGCGCAACGGCCTCCATGGGACGGCCTACGATGCGGGGCGAGGCTTGACCCACGCGCAGCTGCTTACCTTCGACATCGAGGTGGTCGAGGGCGGCAAGGGCGGCGCGAGCTACGAGAAGAAGCGAGCCAACACGACTGGATTGGAGCTGCTGCTGACAACGCTGGGAGAGTCTGTGATGAAGGAGCGCCCGGTCAGGGCGGCGGAATTGTTCGATGGCGCGCTGTACGACAAGCCGGTCTGGAGGGCCGCAGGCGAGAGCAGCAGCCAGCAACCACCCCCACGCCCAAGCGCACGGGAGGCCCGCAATCGCCGCCTCGAGCTCGCCGCGCCGAGGACCCGAGTAGACCGACTGCGCCATGCCGAGCAGCCGAGCGGCATGCACAGCTAGAACCTCCCGTTCTTGGGCCGTCGCCAACTCCGCCACCTCGCACGACTTATACACGTCGATCATGAATGCGCCCGACGCCGCACCTCGCTGGCCTCTGCAGCACGACCACCAGCGCCTCGCGCCCCCCGCCTGGGTAGTTGCGAAGCTCCTCGCCCCCGATCGCCAGATGGATCGCCGCCGCGATGAGCTCGTCGCACGCAATGCGCACCTCTGCGTTTTAGCGGGGGCGCCACGGGAATCCGACGCGGCCGCGCCGCCGATCGCCGCGGGCCCCGCGCCCGCGCGGCTGCGGAACATCTCGGGGCTGACGTTCCAATCTCCAACAAGCACCGAGCTCCGCCCTGCTCGCTCAATGGCGCCGCCGATCGCCATCGAGGTGTCTTTGGTCGTCCGTCGCCAAGCAGACCAACCCGACGAGGGCGCCTCCTGCCTCGACGCCAAGGACCCACGCGACGGTGGCTCTGCGATGCTCGACGCTGGCCGAGCGGGCGCCAAGCGGCCCTGACACCCCTCGGCGCCCCCCGACCGCGACGCCCGCGCCTCTGCTAGACGCTCGAAAGCCACTCGCGCATCCTGACCCTGATACTCCTGCGGCGAGGATCGCGACGACGCCATCCTGCGCCGCGCCTGCCGCGTCGCCACTTGCGGGCTGCGCAGGCAGTGGTCCAGCAAGCAGTCCGCGCCCGCGCAGCGGGGTCGAGGCGCGTCGCTGACGGCCCCACCCCCCACCCCCAGAGCGCTGCGAGGGGGCCCCATCCGCTGCCGTTGACCGTCACGATGCTGCAGAACTTGCCGCGCCAATTGCGCCACCCCGATGATCTGGCTGACCTTGCCGACGTGTTCACTGCGCCGCTGCCTCCGTCACCCTTCAGGCCGCTCGGCCTGCGTCCGCACTAGCCTCGCCCTACTGAGCTGCTGAAGGGCGGCGGTAGCCTTCCTGCAAGCTGCCGCCCGACGCCCTCGTCCTCCAGCTCCCCGAGCATCCGCAGCGCCAGCAGCGGGTTCGGCAGGAGCACCGCCGACGCCAGCGCCGCCCTCGTCCATGAGCGCGCCCAGCACCGCACTGAACTTCTGCGCGCCCTCCTCGGCGCCAGCCGCGGACTCCTCGCCAGATCCTCGGCCCTGGCGGCCATGACCCTGGCGAATTCCTGCGCGGGTCTGGCCAGCTTCCAGTGAGCCTCGACGCACCCAGGGGCGCGCATGCCTGGCGAAGGCAATGGCGCCGGTCGCGGAGGGGTCGACGGTCGCACCCTCCCCCTGCACCTTCTTGTGCTCCGCCTGTGGCCGCCGCGTCTCGCGCTGGGCCTGCTAGATTTTTTCCTGCGGGTAGCCGCCTTTCTTCCACGGCGGGCTACCGCGTCCGTCGGCACTGCTCGACTGCGATCATCCGCCCTGCCCCGCGGACGCCGCCGCCCCGCAGCCACAACACCAGCCACGCACGGCCCAGTTGTCGTCATGGCCACATGCGGGGCACTCCCAGTGGCTGCCACGCCTCGTCAGCCTGCTGCCGTTGCCCGCCGCGCCGCTGCCGTGCGCCGTGGCAGGCCCCTTTTCTGGATATGGATTCGAACTGTGGGCGGGGTCTACGCCTCGTGCTCGAAGCGCCGCAGAGAGACTCGCAGTCGTCGGCACTTGCACCAGATTGAGCCGAAACGTGTCCAGATGATAATGGTGGTGGTGAAAAAAGATGATGGTGGTTGAGATGATGATTATGATGATGATGGCGATGGCGACGGTGCTGGTGGTGGTGAATATGATGGTGATGGTGATGGTGATGGTGATGGTGATGATGCTGATGATGATGATGATGATGATGATGCTGATGATGATGATGCTGATGATGATGATAATGATGATGATGATGATAATGATGATGATGATAATGATGATGATGATGATGATGATGATGATGATGATGATGATGATGATGATGATGATGATGATGATGATGCTGATGCTGTTGCTGGATGCAACGCTGTCGGCGACGGAATGACGAATGATGGTCGAGCCAACGAAGAAACGCAAAGCCCAAGACCTTGAGATACTCAATCAACATGGTCGCGCCACAATCCCTGAGCCTCGTTTGGGGCGCAGACGAAAGCCGAGCTGCATCACACCAGACGAACTGCAAAACCAGACCCCCAGCCCAACGTGAAATTTTTTTGAGATGGCTCCCCCGTGCGAAATCCCAGATACGCACACCCGCCGCCCAACGTTCTCGGTCACGTGGCACATGACGCGGGTCGCCCCTGGCAGCCAGCAGCCGCCAAAGCGTGCGGACGCCATGGGATTTCCAAGGACCCGCAAGCGAATAGAACGTCTCTGCATGATGTCAGCTGCCTCGCGGCGGAAGCGGATGAACAGCAAAACGCACGGCATGGCCGCCATACCCCTTCAGAGCGAGCAAGAGTGCCGGTCTCGAAGCCAGGAGCCCCAGAGACCGAACAAAAAAGTCCATACCATCACTCAGATCACGGAAGCTCGCCAGCCTATTCAGTGCCCACGCGTCGGTGCCGAGGCAGGCGGAACGAGGCCCACCCACCGGCGACCCCGCAGCGAAGCGGGGTGACCCAAATGACGTCACACACTCCGAACAAAAAGCTCTACCTCAAAGCCTGCGGCGGGCCAATTAGCGCGCCCTGGGGGAGGGTCGACGGCAAGACCCAGCGCTAGATTCAACCCACGCGCCCAGACGAGGAAGCGAGGAGGAAGAAGGACAAGGTGGGAAGAGGATGTTTGTCGCTAAGCTGCTCTCTCTCTCTCTGTCACTCTCTCTCTATCCCCGAGCACGCTCTCTCGATCCCCGACTACCGCGAGGAAGAAGCTGCACGACACGCACTGGGCGAAAGATACACCAAACGAAAGCCACCATCCGGAGGAGGGAAAGAGAGGAAGAAGAGGAGGAGTATGATGGAGGAGGAGGAGGAGGAGGAGGAGGAGGAGGAGGAGGAGGAGGATGGAAGGAGAGGAGGAGGAGGAGGTAGGCCAGGACTGGGATAAGGCGTTGAGGAGGAGGAGGGAGGAGGATAGGTGGCAGAAGGAGGGGGGGGGAGGGGGGAGGAGTATGGAGGAGAGAGGATTGTGGACGAGGATGGAAACGGCCGAGGAGGACGGGGGGGAGGAGGAGGAGAGGATGGAAGGCGGAGGGCCGAGGGAGCAGCGGCGGTTAACGCCTGAGGAGGCCGGGAGGCTGGGAGGGCGGCGCATTGGGCCTCGCCGCCCTGCAGGGTGGCGATCTGGTCGGCCACGGCGGACTGCGCCTCCCGCCAGAGCCCTGCGGGGCCCGCGGAGCTCGCGGCGCGGCCACGCGGGCGCGGCGCGGGCAGGGCGCAGTCGGGCAGCCTGAAGGAGGACGGCGGGGAGAGCTCGAGGGTTCAAAATACAGCCGGGGGGGCAAACCTTCGTCGTTCGACAGCGGCAGCGCGGATCCAGGGGAGCCGATGGTGCGCACTCCGGTCTTGTGCTGGTGGTGTGTGCTCTTTTTGTTTCTGTGAACAGAATCGTGCGCTGCTTATTTCTCGATTAGGGAAAAAGAGCTTTCTCTATGTGGCTGCGCGCCCTTGCCCTCGCCCTCCGACCCCCTCATGCAGCCGCTGCCCCTGCCGCTGCCCCAATTGCTCCTCCTCCTCCTCCTCCTCCTCCTCCTCCTCCTCCTCCTCCTGCGTTTCTGCGTTTCTCGCTCTGAGCAGCGTCTCGCGCACGCCCGGAGCGCGGAGCGCGCCACAGCAGCCCACGAGGGCCGTGCGGGCACTCAGACGACGGCCCCGGGAACCCGACCCCGAGGAAGAGAAAGAGGACCAGGGACCAGCAGCCGTTTAACCCCAACATCCAATCCCAATCACAAATCACAACCGTACCAACCCAAAAGCAATCCAAAAAGTTTTCCCCACAAAACAATAAAACATCACCCAATCCCATCAAAAACCCCCATCACAATCAAACCAGTCATTCAAAAATCCCCTCCCCATACCATCAACCCACAACCAAAAAACCACGTAACAGAAAGGAAGAGACGGGGCCGGGGTAGCAAGTGGGGCCCCCGCCCCGGGGGCCCCAAAAGGCGCGGCGCGCGGCCTCGGAGCAGGCGGGCCGCAGAGGCAGGGGCCACCGCCCCCCGCCTCTTCAGATGAAGTACTCCCTGCGGTAGCCGAGCGCGACGAACTTGCCCCCCCCTCGGTGGCCGCCAGCCTCCTCCGCCTTAGGAGGGCGGCACGCTCACCACCCGAGGGGGCGATGGCGTTGAGGAAGCCGCTGTTCAGGTTGGTTACCTCCGTGAAGCCCTGCTGGTGCCCGATGCACTGCTGGTGCCCGGTGCTCTGCTGGTACCCGTTGGTGTGCTGCTGGTTCGGTCACGGCCTCGAGGGGGGTCGGGCACGGCCTCGAGGATGAAGCGCACCTTCTTGGTCGTATGGGTTGGTGTGGTGGCGGCCGTCGGAGTCCTCCTCGTGGGAATCGTCCCGGGGCTGCTAGTCTTCCTTCTGCGTCCTCCTGCGTCCTCTGCGTCCCTGAGGTACGGCGCGAAGAGCGGGTCGGAGGCGAGTGCATCTCGTGGGCACTCGGTGGTCCACTCTGCCTGCGCCTCGCTGCCCAGGGAGCTCCAAGCCTGCGTGGCTATCCACTCGCTGGCGCCACGGCCGCGGGCGTAGCGCATGAAGGCCGAGTAGGCCGCGAGCTCGGCGAACGAGACCTCCTCGTAGGCGCGCTGCTCATCGTGCGGGAGCAACGAGAAGGCCGAGCGGGCTCCCTCGGCTTGGACGGTAGGGAGGCGCGCTCGCAAGGCCTCCTCCTCGGTTCTGTCAATGACGTCGTTGAGCGTGTCCTCGAGATCCTCCTCGAAGATGTCCCACGGCTTGCGGATGTTCGATGGGATCTGTCCGCTCTCCCATATGTTGGTGCTGCACTGCCCGCTGCCACTGCTCGCACCACTGCCCGTCGCCGCCTGTTCTCGCAGGAGGCTGCCGCTGCTCGCTCCACTGCCCGCCGCCGCCTGTTCTCGCTGTCTTGCGCCACTGCACGCGCCGCTGCCCGCCACCGCCTGTTCTCGCAGGCTGGCGCCACTGCCCGCCGCCGCCTGTTCTCGCAGGGGGCAGCCACTGCCGGCGCCACTGCCAGCCACCGCCTGTTTTCGCAGGCTCGCACCACTGCCCACTGCCACTACCGTCTCTTCTCGCACGTATGCCCGCGAATGTTTCTCGCTTTGCGCGCGCTCAGGCTCATCAGGCACTTCTCGCGCGCTCGTGTTCTGGCCACATGCCCTGATAGCGGCGCTGCAACTGATCGCGTCGGGCTCCAGCGTCGCCGCCAAGGGGGGATCGGTAAGGGGCGTCGTCGGGGGTCGTCGGGGGGCGTCGGCGAAGGGTGTCGAAGTGGGGGCGTCGAGAGTCGTCGAGGGGCGTCGGGCGGGGTCGTTGGGGGGCGTCGTCGAGAGGCTGCCACTGCACGCACCACTGCCCACGACCGCTCGCACCACTGGCCGCTCGCACCACTGCCCGCTCGCACCACTGCCCGCACGCACCTCCTTCTGACCACCACTGCCCGTCCGCGCGCACCACTGCCCGCTCGCACCACTGCCCGCCCGCTCGCACCACCGCTGCCTCGTCGCGCCACTTCCCGCTTGCACCGCTGCCCGCTCGTCTGGGTCCCTCTGGTCGCCTGGGTCCTCCTTCTGGTTGTCTGGGACCTCCTTCTGGTCGCCTGAGTCCTCCTTCTGGTCCTTGTTGCGGCGCGCCGTGGCTGCGCGCGCGGCCCCCGCCGCTGCCGCGCGCAGCAGGGCCGCCGTGGGGTAGGCGACGGCGGGCCGAGAAGTGCCGCACCATTGCCCGCCACTGCCCGCCACCGCCCACTGCTCGCACCACTGCCCGCCGCCGGCTGCGCTGCCACTGCTCGCACCACTGCCCGTCGCAGTCTGTTCTCGCCGGCTCTCACCACTGCTAGCACCACTGCCCGCCACCGCCTGTTCTCGCAGGCTTGCACCACTGCTCGCACCACTGCCCGCCACCGCCTGTTCTAGCAGGCTCGCGCCACTGCCCGCTGCCACTGCCTCGTAGCAGTATTCCTGGGGTTCTGTCTTCGCCTCCCGCTTCTCGCAGGCGCGGACCCCAGAGCTGCGGATAGGGGTAGGGATAACGGGCTCTATATTTGCCTTCCTCTGGCAGCACGCCCTGGTCGCAGCGCCGTCCGCGTTCGAGTCCTCCGAAGTCTCGTTCTGCTCGGACGGCTCGGCGTCGTCGACCTCGTCCTGGTCGAGCTGCTGGTCGCCGTACCTGTCGTCGCAATGGTCGCCGTACTGAATGCCGTACTGGTCGCCGTAGTGGACTCCGTACCTGTCGTCGTGCTGGTCGGGGATGAACTGAGTGCCGTGCTGGTTTCCGTCGTGGTCGAGGTGCTGGTCGCCGCACTGGACGCCGTACTTGTCGTCGCACTGGTGACCGCACCGTCTGGGGACTTCGATCACGACGTACTTGACCTCTGTGAGCTTGGCGGCGGCGTTGATCGCTGGTGTTGGTTCCAATTTTGACGCTGTGCCATTGTCACGATGATTCAGGTCCCAATGTTCTTGATGATGGCACAGCCAGGCCTCGATGGCGTCGCGGCGCCGCCTGCGAGCGAGGCGGCGGGCTGCCGCGGGACCGAGGGATCTGATTTCTGCCTGGCGCTGCCAGGCGGGCCGCCACGCCTCCTTCGGGCAGCCCTCCGCAGGAGTAAACATCCATGGCATCAGTGCGGCCGCGACGCCGCAGGCGCTGCGGCGCGCGAGGCTCGGCCGAAGGGGGGCCCAGCCGATCGGATCCGCGATCGATCGATCGGCCAATCCCTCGGCCGAGATGCCTTGAGCCAAAATGGCTACGGAGCCCTCCTCCTCCTCCTCCTCCTCCTCCTCCTCCTCCTCCTCCTGCTGCTCCTATCCTCATTCCATACTGGAATATACGACCACTCTGCCACACAGAACGCCGATAGCAACTGGATCCGGGCAGTCCCATCCGACCTGTCCAACAACCATACAAAATCAAAGTTACATAGACATGATGTCGTCATGTATGCATACATGTGTATATATATATGTGTGTGTGTGTACTAGAGCCTTCGCGCGCGCTTCGCGCGCTTAGGTTCTAGCCAACCCCAGCCTTGGACAAGGTCAAAGCTGCACGTATGGACGGCCCGCAGATCGTGCGAACATGAGTTCAGGAAGTGGCAAGCACGCAACCAGACCAAAGACGTTTTATGTATGCATGTATGTATGCGTGTATCCATATATATATGTATATATATATGTATATATACATGTGTGCCTATGTACATGCATACACACATACATCCATGCATACATGGATGCATGCATGAATACACACGGAAAACAAACACATGCATACGTTAATACATGCATACGTTGGAAGGAGAGGCGGCAACGTGCTCCGGCAGCGCGTTTCCGGAGCATGTTGTGCGAGAGGCGTCGTACCAAAATACGCCCAGAGTGGCCGGCAAACGGCCCAAGAACCTTTGGAGACCGCTTCTGAGGGGATCTCCTGGGAGCGCCTTAGGGGCCTCTGGGCGGCCTTGTGGGGCCTCCTGGCGGCCTCTTGAGTAGGCACCGAACGCTGGAAGGAGAAGCGGCAACGTGCTCCGGCAGCGCGTTTCCGGAGCATGTTTGAGGGACCGCGGTAGGCAGTTTTGAAGCCTCTCGGAAGCCGTTTTGGGGCCTCTCGAGGCCTCTTTTGTTCTGAGGTTTGGGGTGGTGTTTGTTGGGTTGTTTGTGGCCTTTTGTTTGGGTTGGTGGTTTTTTGGTTGGGGGGGGGTTAGGTTGGGGTGCCTTTTGGTGGTGGGTTGGGTTTGTGGTGGGGTTGGTGTGGTTGGTGGTGGGGTTGGATGGTTTGGTTGGGTGTGGGAGGTGGGTTTGTGTTGTGGTTTTGGGGGTGGGGTTGGGCTTGGGATTGGGTGGGGGTTGGGCCTCCTGGGGGCCTCTTAGTGGCCTTCTGGGCTGTCTTCGGGGCCTCTGGGGGCTTCCTAGGGGCATCTTGGGGCGCAGAGCTCGACTGTTCGGTGCGTGTTCCCTCTCTTGGGCCGCTCTTGGCGCCTTCTTGGGGCTCTCCTGGGCTGTCTTGGGCGGGCCTGGGGACAGTCTTAAGGCTCTCTTGGGCCGTCTTCGGCCTATCTTGGGGGTCTCTTGGGCTGTCTTGGAGCGGTCTGGGGAGCCTCTGGGCCGGTCTAGGAGCGTCGGAAAGCCGAAACAGCGAGGAAGCAAAAAACATTGAAAAAACAAATGATAATCAACTATTTTCGCCTCTCTGGCCGCTCGTCGGTGGCATCTTCACGCCTCTTGGGGCGTCTTGGGGGACGTCCTCGGCAGCTTCAGACGCATCGTGGGCTCCTGGAGACACCTGCAGGCGGTCTTGGGAGCGTCTCGAGGACGTCTGGGGCCGCGGGGACGGCTGTCCGAGGGCTCCTGCGGCCTTCTACGGGCCCTCTTCGGCCGTCTTGGGCGGGTCTGGGGGCAGTCTTGGGGCTCTCTTGGGCCGTCTTGGGGCTCTCTTGGGAGCCTCTGGGGCCGTCTTCGAGCGGTCTCGGGAGCCTCTTGGGCGGTCTTGGAGCGTCGGAAAGCCGAAACAGGGAGAATGCCAAAAACATACCAAAAAAACTAATGACAATCAACGATTTGGGCCTCTCGGGCCGCTCTAGGGCGGCATCTTGAAGCGGCTTGGGACGTCTTGGGGGGGCTTCCTGGGTAGTTTAAAACGTATCGTGGGCGGATGGAGACGCCTGGCGGTCTGGGGAACGTCTCGAGACCGTCCAGGGCTGCCGGGACGGCTGTCTGAGGGCTCCCGACGGCGATTTCAGCCCTCTCAGAGGCGGCCCGGGCCCTGGGCTCCACATGTGTGGTCGAGGTTCGGGCCCCCGGGAGCGTCCTGGAGCCCCGTGGCCCTCATGGGGGTCCGAGGCACCAATCTGGCGGCCCCAGGTCCCGTTCCCCGGTATGTGTATATATATATATATATATATATATATATATATATATATATATCGGAGATTGGGGGGTGAGTCCGACGTGAAACGGAGACCCCCCCTGCCGGGAAATAGATTTCAGTTTCGGGTCCGTGTCGTGCGTGCCGTGCGTGCGTGCGGGCGAGGCGAAGCTGCGTGGGCGGGCGAGGCCGGACAAAATGTTTCTCCTCTGGCGGCCGGTGGCCCGCGGTGCCTTTGGCTGGGCCGCGGCCGGACCAAATGTTTCTCCTCTGGCGGCTGGTGGCCCGCGGTGTCCCGCTGGTGTCCCGTGGTGTCTTATGGTGGCCCGTGGTGTCCCGTTGAGTGAGATCGATTGTGAGATCGATAGTGAGATCGATACTGAGATCGATTTGGTGCCCCGAGGTGTCCCGTGGTGTCCCGTTGAGTGAGATCGATAGTGAGATCGATAGTGAGATCGACAGGTGTCCCGTGGTGTCCCGTGGTGTCCCGCGATAGTGAGATCGATAGTGAAATCGATAGTGAGATCGAGAGGTGTCCCGCGGTGTCTCATGGTGTCCCGTGCTGTCCCGTGGTGTCCCGTGGTGTCCCGTGGTGTCCAGTTGAGTGAGATCGATAGTGAGATCGACAAATGTCCCGCGGTGTCCCATGGTGTCCCGTGGTGTCCCGTGGTGTGCCGTTGAGAGAGATCGATAGAGAGATCGATTGAGTCAGATGTTGGTTACACCCCCTCTACCCCCCCCCCCCAACCTCCTTATCACCCGAAGGGTGGTCGTACAGGTATATTGCATGTGTGAAAATGTATATACATCGACATACATCCTGCACCTAGCCCCCACCACTTCTCCCACTGCCGTCCTCATCCTCCCTCCATTCGGGGTGCGCGGCGCGCACAAGGGGCTAGGGGGAGGGAGGAAGGCTTCTCAGAAGGAGGCTGCTTCTCAAAAGGCGCCAGCCCTGCATCCGTAGACAAGGCCCACCCCCTCTAAAAAAGCAGGGGTGCTTCTAAGAAGCCTCCCCCCCTCCCCCTACCCCCCTCTGCGCGTGGCTAACTCTGGGGAAACCAAGAAGCCCAGGGTGCGGTCTGACCAGGATTTCGAGGCGGATTCAGTGGTGTCGACGAGGGGCTCCCAGGAGGCCGAAAAAGGGGAAAAGGCGCCTGCGGCGTGCTCGTTGCATAAGTTTAAAAAATTGAGCAACTGCGGTGGGCTTCCCCAGAGCCTCGCAACCTGTCGAACTCCCCACCACCCCCCCACTCTGATCCGCAACTGCAGGGTGCTACGCCTGTCCTGATTCTAGCCCCGACCGCTTCTCCCACTTCCGTCCTGCTCCAAGACGAAGCCAGGACGAAGATAAAACCGAGTGAAGATAAATCGGGAATCTCTGAGATCTGGTGGCTCTGGAGGATATCTCGGGCGCCGCGGCCTTCTCAGAGCGTTCCGGAACGCTCTGAGGGCATTCTGGAACGCTCTGGAACGGATTTCTCCTCGTCCCAGTCCCGTCTGGTCCTCCCTCCCTCCAGCCGCACGAAGGGGGGGGAGTCCCACCGCTGAGGTTGCCCCAGAGCTGCTTGGCCCCCTTCACCGTCTGGGCGGCGGTCTGCGGGGGGGGGCGCGACGGGAGGCTCTCTCTGGGGGCGCCGCGGCTCTGCGGGGGGGCAGCAAGCGGCCACGGCCGCACCGAGGACGCACCCCTGGGGGGTCTTCCGCATGCCAAAAGTTTCGGGACAGTGCTCCGCGCGAATTTCTTGGATCCGCGCTGGGCCACCCTCCCTGGCGCGCGGAGCACGCCAGGGGCGGCGCCGGAGGCGCCGCCAGCGGGCCCAGCGCGGATCCAAGAAATCCGCGCGGAGCGTCAGAAGTTTATGTTTATGGTGTTTTCTTCCTCGAGCGAAACCAGCTTCGTGCCAGTTGCTGATCACCTACCACACCACCCCAACCCAACCCGAAGACCTAAATTTCGGGTTGGGGGGGTACGGGTTCCACATGTGTTTTGTAAATGTTCGCCGACGCCCCCCCCCCCACTGGGAATGGAGGGCAGATTGGGGCCTTCGGGTAGGGTTGGGGTGATTTAGTGGGTGGTGAGTTGTGGTCGATGTGGCGTCCCAGGACGGTCAGGTCGACCACGACCACAACCAAAGTGCTCGTGCCGAGGTCGGTGGACCCTCCCGAAAGAGCCACTCAGTTGTGGTTGTGGCTCGTTGTAGCGCCTGGAGGCACTGGCGTCTGACCTCGGCCTTCGCACTGCGAGAAGCGCGGCAAGCCGATACCTTCGCGCCGCTGAGATCGAAGGGGGAGGAGTGGGAGAGCACAAGGCGCGCGCATCTTCGAGCACTCGACGCCAACTTCGGTCGCGACACTACCCGATGCCACAGCGGAGGCGCAAGGCAACTGCGACGCCATTATACGCAGCGAGCTACAAACGTACACTAGCAAGGGCACATCCTGACCGTGGCTATGCCGTAATCATGCGTGCATGCCGTTTGTTGACATTGTAATCAGAAGCACTACAGAAGAACCGCGGTGGACACTTCTCCTCCAAGAGGACGATTGCTAGCCCAACATGCAACCCGCGACGTCTCCCAGAGAGCACTGTGACAAGGATTTCGAAGCAATCCAGCCGCGGCCGCGAGTGACCCTCAAGAGGCCCAACGGAAAGAGAAACGTTGAACCCCTCCCTGCTCATCCGTCCTCCTCCTCGTCTGGTCGTCGCCCAGTCGCTTTCAAGTGTCCCGGTGCGCATGCAGCACCAAGCCCAAATGGGCATTCTTCCACCCTGACCCTGACCCTGCAGCGGCGCCCCTCCTTTGACCGCAAGTTCGCGTTGCCGCCGAGCTCGTGCGCCCGCCGAAACCCGAGAAGCCAGGGCGGGGGACGGTGGTGTGCTGGTTAGGGCTTGGGGATAAGTTCTGGGACCTGGGTCGGCGGAGTTGGAGGGGAGGAATCGCAGCGAGCTCATATGGGATGCGACTCGGGCCCAGGACGGCCCAGCCTCGATTGCGCCTTCGCTCGCAGTCTGGAAGCCGACGAAGAAGAAAGGAACACTGGGCAACACTGCGTGAAGGTCCCCTCTGAAATGATTTGATGATACGCCTTGGCTATGGCCGAGGCTGCTGCTGTTGGGTTCACGCGTCGTTTAGCTTGGATGTCACTTTGAAGTTATCAGCAGCCTCGGTGCCTCAAAGGGTTCGACTTTCTGAACCGATCGTAGAAGGCCTTTCAAGGGATTCTGGCTGGGTGCTTCCATGCAACCAGTATCATGCAGGTTGTGTTGTTTAGGTCACTCCAGAGAGTTCAAGTTCGTGGTATCCCGAGGCCTCGTGGATGATCTTTCGTTTCGTTCCAGTGGGTGGGGCGCCTGGCCAGGATACCAGAGTGGCGTTAAATTGTGTTGCGTTTTCCGGCGGGGATACCCGCCCTCCAAGATTCCTGTTTCAGGCGTCAAATCCGAATATCTAGCGTCAACCACGGAGGCGGCTAGAGCCGTCAAGGCTAGAGCTTAAGCCTACACCATGACACTTTCGCTGGAGGCGTTGCCCACAGAGCCATGGAACACAAGCGTCTTGGGGCTGCTCTCGCGAGGCGCGATCGTCCCAGAGCCCTCAAGAGGGCCAGCGGTCTGTAGGCTCGGGCTTTGTGGCACACTGGGGTTCTGCCCGCAGCGGGCCACCTGCTCTCATGAAGCTGCGCTCTCTTGCTGGTGCTTGGCTGGGGCCAGGATAAGATTGGCCTCGCTCACAGCCTACACGTGCACACAAAAAGACAGGATGTACAACCCACCTTTTATGCGGCTTGCCCGCTTCTGGCCAGATACGCGTATTGGATCTGGGACGGTGGGACCTCTCCTAGTTTGCTCCCAAATCGGCGTGCAGTACAATTCGTGGTAAGCTTAGCACCCAGGGCTCTTGGAGGCAATGCGTTGGGCCTCTCTCTGCTGTTTTCCTCACCCAGCGCCGAATAGGTTGGGGCATGGCTTCGCCCCACGTGCTCACCAACGAGCTGGGTGCCCACATGACATTTCACGAGTACTCGCCGAGTGAACCCAGGCCAGGAGTTGGTCAAGGATAGGGTTGAGCGCTGGCTGTGGGCCGCGTCGCCTTCCGTTGGCCCTACGCGTCTGGGACCGACTTTTGTTGGCCTCGTGTGCTGCACCGGGCTATCCTGGCACTCCCAGCTGGTGCCCGTCGAGGCTCTCTTCGGGTGCCGTGGCCTGCAAGGCTCTGGCCGCAGGCCTGTGCTCGTCAGCTGCCTCTGCACTTTCCAGTGGGCCCCCAGGGCACCCTCGGCCACCGGCTCCACGATTGCCAGTGCATTCACCTCGGGCGAGGACGACAGCGGAAGTCTGGGTTTCCCTGGTTCTGTTTGGGCGCACAGGAAGGTCTTTGTGGGAGAATGGGGGGGGGCATTCTCGCGTCGGACTGGGATTCGGTTCGGTTCCTCTTCTGTACGGGCTCCCACCCCCTCCCCGTTCAGTTGCCCCCCTGGCTCGGCCGACTGTGCTCACCTGGCCGCTTGCTGCCCTCGGGGGCAGTTCCGATTCAAAGATGGATCGGGACTGCACGGTTATGTGCCAGAAGCCACTCGATGTGGCTGGAGTGTGGTTGGGATCATTTCCTTGGACGCGTGGCCCATGAGGCGAGCTCCCAAGGCGTTTCCAGACGGTCCCACGGAAAGAAAGATGGGCAGGGTTGGACGCCGTCTCACTTGGGCCCGAGGGAGGCCTGCCCCCCGCCATTATCAGCGACCACCTCTCCCCTGTGCAAGTAGGGCAAAGCTGGGACCCAAGCATAGAAACTGGCCTAGCCTCACATGCGTCAAGTAAAATCGAGCGCACCAGAACCATGCCATGCAGACCACGTTCCACCCGACTTCCGCGCATCAGTCGCTTGAGGGGTTGATGGAGCGAGGCGCCGATGCTGGCGATATCTGGAGGGCAATGTTTGGGCTGATCCTTTGTTAACACAGGAGCCCAAACATTGCTTTCGCTGATGTGGCAGTTACGTCGCTTTAGGCTGCCATTTAAAAATGTAGATTGTCATGTCAGTTCTTGCCGCGCGCGGTGCAAGTCATTCGTGCCAGGCCTGCGGCCGTCGCTCCAGCGGCGGCCCAGGAGGCCCCTCGGGTTGCACGGCCTAGAAGGCCGCCTCAGCTTGTGACTGTGGCTCATGACACTGTGCCCCTTGCCCCTGGATCCGACGCGATCCAGCGCAGGCGCTGTTTGGTGGTGGCGCGGGCCCCCGTCGGTTGCAAGTCGCTGCCGAAGCCCGAGGCGCGGCGTGCGCCTGGGGCCATCTTGCGCTAGTTGGCCACAACCACCGCAAGGCTAAGCTGGCGCCGAAAGGGAGGGGGAGTCTGCCCCTGCCGCTGCCGCTCGTTCTCTTCCTCGTCCTCGTCCTCGTCCTCCTCCTCCTCCTCCTCCTCCTCCTCCTCCTCCTCCTCCTCCTCCTTTTCCTCCCCTTTTTCCTCCTCCTCCTCTCCTCCTCCTCTCCTCCTCCTCCTCCTCCTCCTCCTCCTCCTCCTTCCCTTTGGCGGCGGCGAGGACGACGCACACGATGACCACGGTCCCCCAATGTCTCTGCGGGGGCCTCGTGGATGTGGGCGGCGGTATCCGGGCCGTCCGGGGCGCTGGCCTTGCAGCGAGGGGGCTCCGCGTAGAAAAGAGGAGAGGCAGGGACGGAGGAAGGGAGGGAAGGAGGGAGGGACGAGGGCCCAACAACGCGGCCAGGTGGTTTTCCTCCTCCTCCGCCTCCTCCTCCTCCTCCTCCCTCGGGCGCGGGCGCGGGTCCTCCCGTGGCCGGAGCGCTGCAGTGGGGAGCCGACGCAACCCCTCTTCCCCCCCCAGGTGCGGCCCACCGCTCGACGGCGAGCCGCCCCCGAGGAGGAAGGGGCGCGCCGGCCAGGGCCTATAGCTGGTTTGCCAGAGACCACGGCGGCGAAGGAGAGCACGCGGCCGCATGGCCTGCAGCCTGGGCCCTGCCCCCCTACCGCCATGCGCCCGCGGCCCCACCGCCAAGCCCAAACGCCCGCGGCCCCACCGCCAGGCGCATCCGCGCGGGTTGCCGCCTGCAGACGCGAGTTTCCGGCACCCGCCCAGCGCCCCAACTGGCGCCCTGCGCGGCGCGCCCGCGCCCCCACTGCCGCCGCAGCTAGCGCCTCAGCAGCCCGTCCCGCGCCCCCGCGCCGCTCGGGGCCTCGGCCGGTCTGCTCTGCGGCCCGGCAGCGCGGCGCCGCCCAGCGCCTCGCCGGCCCCCTCAGCGGCCGCGGCCGGCAGCCTGGGCCGGCGACCGCCACGGCCGCGGACAAGGCCCAGCGGCGCTCAGCAGCATCGCGGCCGTGCCACGCGCCACTGCGACGACCAAGCGATGCCGCACGTCGGCCAGCGCGGCCGCTCGGTGCGCCTGGCGCGCGGGCGCGCAGGAAACCCTACAGATCCGGGCCCACGCGGCCGCCAGCCTCGACGACGGCGGCGCAGAGACGAGGGCCAGGAGGGCAGCGGGCGCGTATCTCCCGCTCCCGCTCTCGCGCCGCGAGGCCAGCCGCCGCGGCTCGCCGGCGGCTTTCAGGGCCCCTCGGCGACGCCCACGTCGCACCACGCCCGCCCGCCGGGGTGCGCCAGCACCGCGTCGAGGGCGGCACGTTGGATGCCCTCGCCCGCGCGCCGGCCCAAGGTGGGGATGCGCCGCTCGAAGCCGACCGCGTTCTGGCCGTGGCGCTCGACCAGCCACTCGCCCAGCGCGCCCCGCGCGCCGTCGTGGCGGCGCGCAAACCCAGGTCCCGCGGGGCGCTCGTCGGCGCGCACGGCAAGCGGCTCGCGCGCCGAGGCCCCGCATTGCAGCGCAGTGCCACGGGCAGCGTTGCAGCAAGGTCTGCCGCCAGTGCCGGCTGGGTCCTCGTAGAGCAGCCGCCGGCGCAGGGCCGCGGCGAACTCGTCGTTGCCAAGCAGGCGCTGCGCCCGCGCGGGCGGTTCGAGCGCCGCGGCGCCCGCCCCGCCATGGGACTGGAAGAGCCCCGCTTCAGGCCCGGAGAGGCGCGGTCGAGGAACCAGCGGCGCCGGCGGCCCACCACCCGGCGGGAGCAGGTTCTCTGCTTGACCACGCACCGGGAGCCCCAGGGCACCCAGGCGCCGTCGGCGCGGAGCCTCGCCTTGGCCTCGGACACCGCGGCCGTGAGCTCGGGCGCGGCCTCCTCCGCCCAGGCCAGGCCGGGCGCCGCCTGCCCCGCCCTCGCGGCGGCCTGCTGAACGGCGCGCCACGAGCCCAGCCACGCCGCGTCGGCGCGGTATTCGGCAGACCCGAAGCCAGCGCCTTAGGACCTCCCGGCCGTTCGCAGTGAATCCCGGCCCCGCCAAGCGCTCGATCTGCACGACCACCCCGTCGTCGAAGGAGCGCCATCGGCCGCGCGGTGCCAGCCTGGCTCGCCGCAGGTGCGTCACACGCCGTTGGCGGAGCAGCGCAAAGCAGCGCTGCTTCGCCGGGCCAGCCGCCCGCAGGTCCTCCAGCGCGTCGCCGAACGCAGCCGGCCGCGGGGCCGCGGCGGCCGGAGAGGTCTGGTCGAGAATCTCCGCGCGGGTGCCCCGCCACTCGTCGTCGCCCTCGTCTGGGCGGGCTCCGGCGAAGATCACTGCGCTGCCCAGACACGGGAGGGCGTCGGCGACCCACGCCCCAGCGCCGTCCGGCAGCGAGGCGGCGCGGCCGTCTGGGCGCCACACTCCGGTCTTGGCGACGTCGAGTTCCAGCCGAACCTGGGAGAAGAGCGCCGCAGCCATCGCCGAGGCCTGGTGCAGCAGACAGCCTTCGGCACAGAAAAATAGGGGTCTCCAAGGTAAGTCCACACCTTGCAGCGCGGGTCCACTAGTCCCGGAAAGGATCAGAGGTCGTAGCCGATGCCGATGCTGAAAAGCGCCGGGGTGAGCGGGCACCCCCGGTCGAGGCCCGCCTGCTGTTCGGCCCCACGAGAAGCCCCGCCCGCGCCAGCGGCCGCGTGGACCGTGACCCGACCGCGCAACTGCGCCATCAAGCATTCGAGTTCAGGGCACCGCTGCCGCACCTGGCGGAGCACAGCCTGGCGCCGGAAACAGGTGAAATCGCTCTTGAGACCCAGGGAGACGAAGGCCGCGTCTGGAGAATGCCCCGCCTCAGCCGAGACGCCCTCGCGAAGCATCTCCAACCCGGCGGGGGCCACAGTGCTGCACTGCAACTCGGCGACGGCCGTCTCAGTGCTATCAGATCGGAGCGCGCGCGCGGCCCTGGCCACCACGCGGCGGGCCATGGCTCTGCATGCCAACACCCTGGCGCCTCCGTCTTTCTCGGCCCGGCCCTGGAGTCTGCCCGCGAGCGCCAAATCCAAAGCCTCCGGCGGCGCGCCCCCGCCTACGAGGCGGGAGAGCACCTGGGCAGTGGCCGCCCCCTGCGATTCTGCGCGCGCAAGGGGGCGCCACTGTTCGCACTGGTCGCCCTGCACTCCCGCCCCGGAGCCCCGGGGCGTCTGCGTCCACTCGTTGGCCACGCACGCTTGGACGTCGCCCCGGAACAGCGCGGCGGCCGCGAGGTCTGGGCCACCTTCAAAGCCGCACGGCGAAGCAGCTTCCGGAGGGTGTCGCCACTGCGCGAACGCCCGCAACGCGTCTTCCGCGGGCGCCAACTTGGACGGCCCCCACGCCGAGGAGGCAGCCTTAGAGATCTCGCCTTCCAACAGCAGGCGCCGGACCCTGCCAGCGGCCACGCCTCTGCTGATGGGGCCCGCCGCGGTTGATCCCGAAGCAGCGCTCCCACCAGCCCTCCTTGAAGTCCTGAAGGCGGGACGCGACCCTCTCCGCCACGGCGCGCTGCTGCACCTCGCCCTTCTCGAACAGCTATCCGAAGACCGCGCGGTCAAAAGCTAGGAAACAGCGCCACGCCCCCAGCTCGTCCACGTCGCCGATGGCGTCCTACACGGCCTGCGCAGTAGCCTCCCGGGCCTCCCCGATGGCGACCTTCAGCATACCCGGCGTTTCCTGGAGGGTGGCCGCCTGGTTGAGGAAAAAAGCGTCGGTGGATGTGTACTGGCAGCCGAGGCCGTCAGCTCCCGAACCGGCCCACCCTTCCAGGCTGCGCAGGCTCCGGGGCCCGTCGGGCTCCTGGTGTTTCTCGATATCCTCCTCAATGGCCCCCCCACCCATGGGCGCCGCTCCCGGGCCGTGACCGGCAGGAGCCGCGTGGGCGGGCGGGGGACGTTGGTTTGCTGGCACAGAAGGGGGAACGGGGTCGGAGGGCAGCAGGACGGACGGCCTCACCTTCTGCTGCTGCTCGGCGGTCAGGTCGAGGAACCCCATCGATGTTCTCGGGCCTCCCCAACGGTGTGGACACGCAAGCGGCGTGCCAGTATCGGGGATGCGCCCGGGCACGCGAGCTGCAGATGCGGACATCGCCTGTCTCGAAGGTAAAGTGGCATGCCTGCCAGCGTGCCCGCACATGCGTACTCTGCACGCTGCACCGCCAACGCGGACCTGCCTCAACACCGCGGCTGCGGTTCCGCCCCGCCCGCCGCCCGCCGTCGCCTCCGGGCTGCCGACTTTGGCCCGGATCCGCGGCCACGATCGGGGGCGCAGGCCCCCCTGCGATGAATCAGAAGGGGTTGCAGAATCCCCCAGCGAGGCTGCCGCCACCCGGCAGCGCGGCCGCCCCGGCCAGGCGATTGCGCGGCGAGGGGGGGGAGCAAGGCGTGGGGGGGGCAGGTTGAGTGAACGAGGCGAGGAAAGCCCACCCCCGGGCAGCGGCTGCGGCGACTTGAGCCCTCCCTCCCTCCCTCCCTCCCTCCCTCCCTCCCTCCCTCCTTCCCCCGAGAGCTGTTCCGAGCCCGGCGGGGGGGGCACGCAGACCGTCTCTCCCCTGCTGCTGCCTGCTGGCCCGCATCAGTCCTCTCCTCTTCCAGCGCTGGAGGGACGCGGGGGAGGAGGCACAACGAGGGCGAGGGACGGAGCGAGGGAGCGAGGGACGGGGGGAGGACGTTCAGGGTGGTTCGCCGTGCAGGGTTGTTGCCCCAGGAAACCTCCTGGGAAAAGAAAGAAGAGGAGGGAGAAGGAGGAGGAGGAAGAGGAGGAGGAGGAGGGGGAGGAGGAGGAGGAGGGAGAAGACGAAGAGGAGGAGGAGGGGGAGGAGGGGGAGAGGGAGGGGGAGGGGAGGGGGTGGGGGGGGGGAGGAGGAGGAGGAGGAGGAGGAGGAGGAGGAGGAGGAGGGAGGAGGAGGAGGAGGAGGACGAGGAGTAGGAGGAGGAGGAGGAGGACGAGGAGTAGGATGAGGAGGAGGAGGAGGAGGACGAGGACGAGGACGAGGACGAAGAGGAGGAGGAGGAGGAAGAGGAGGAGAAGGAGGGACAGGGGGAGGAGGAGAGGGAGGGGGAGGGGGAGGAGGAGGGAGGAGAATATGAGGAGGAGAAGGAGGCGGAACGAACGATCCCCAAATGCCGACAGGTGCCCGTGCCTCGTGGGACGAGGTCTGCGGGGCCTGAGCCTCGAGATCCTCAGTGTGTGTTGAAACATACACGCGAGACATAGGACAAGCTATGTAGGCCGAGGAGGAGGAAGAGAAGGAATCCTTGTAGTCGCTGTCGTCGTGGGTTGGTGGTGTCGCGTCGCTGGGTGGAGTCGGCGCTGGTGGTCTGCACGGGTTTTGGTGTTGCTGCTGGCGCAGGGCGCCGATAGTCGGTGTTGGTCGTCGGTGGCCGGCATTTACGGTCGGGTGGCCAGCTCTGTCAGTGCTACCACGGCGGGTACGTAACAGCTTGTGTATCATCATCCGCCACCGTGCACTGGGCACGGAGCGAGCGTGTCCTCAAGTCTTTTGCATCATCCTCTCAGATTCACTCCTCACTCCTGAGGATCTGTAAGGGACCCGGACCCCTCGATTTCACATCTCTCGGGGCTTCTCGCGTCTTGTCGCGGTTTGTCGCATGACTCTTTCGGAAGCAAGGGGGGCCCATGACGGCCCAAGAGGGTCCCAAGAGGCTGCCAAGACGGTCCGAATGCCCCAAATGGCTGAAAGATCGCTCCCAGACGCGCAAGACGGCCCAAAGACGGCCCCAAGCGTGGCCCGGGAGGGGGGGCACGAACCAAAAATCCGCCGACCCCTTGGGGTCACGGCGTGTGAGATGCTTCCCCCTCCCCAAACCCGTCCCACGGGGGCCTGGTCCAGCCGGTTTGGAGGGGGGGAAAGGGGGGCGGGGGGGGGGGGGGGGGGCAAATCCATCATCCGCACACTTGGAGCCGCAGGAGACCCCAAAACGGGCCAAGAAGGTTCCAAAAGACCCCTCAACGGTCCAAGAGAGGTACGAATCGACAAAAGATCGCCCAAAAACGCCGAAGATTGCCCCCACACGGTTCCATAAGTCCCCAAGACGTTTAAAACAGTATTACGAGGCGCCCCAAAGAGGCCCCCCGGAAGCAAAAAACGTACCATTTCCGCGGGCAAACGTACATGTTCACCACATTCACCCATTCGGCTTCCACGCTGCGCAAAACGGCCCAACAAGCGTCGCGCGTGCCATGGCTCTTGCACGAAAAGGAGGGGAAAGGAGAAAGAGGAGGAGGAGGAAAAGGAGGAGTAGGAGGAGGAAGAGGGGGAGGAAGAAAAGGAGAAGGAGGAGGAAAGGGGGGGAGAGAGGGGACGAGAAATTGGAGAAGTCTCGGGGGGGCGGGACGGCGGGGGCGGTCCGACGCAGAAATAGAATGGTCGGAGAGGAGGGGGGGCGGGGTGCTTTGGGCGGGCGGGGAGGGGAGAACGATCGTGGGGGCGGGACGGCGGGGGCCGTGGGACGCAGAAGAAAACGTTCGTGGCGGAGGGGGCTGTGGGCGGGGTTCCTACTGGAGCGCTGGGGACGCGGGGGGGGGTCGGGGTGATTGGGCTGGGCTCCTACCGGGGCGCTGGGGACGCGGGGGGGGCAGGCGGAGTGCGTCGCTACGCGGAATAAAATGGTCGGGGCGGAGGGGGCACAGGGCGGGGCTTGGGGCAGAGAGCCGCGGGGGGGGGGTCCAACTGGAGCGCTGGGGACGGGGGTGGGAGGGGGGAGGTGGTGGGCGGGGTTCCCGCTGGGGCGCTGGGGGCGCGGGGGGCCTCGGGGCGCTGGGGACGCGTGGGGGCTCGGGGCAGAGAGCCACGGCGCGAGGGTCCCACACTGACCCTGGGGACGTTGGGGGGGGGGGGGGGGGCGACGCGGAATAAAGTGGTCGGGGCTCTAGACACCCTCCACGCTGCGCAAAACGGCCCAATAAACCTCCAAGATCGACCCTCGCCAACACAAAAAGCTCCCAAAAACGCTCCAACACGGCTTCCGGGCGATCCACGAAGGCCCCTGAAACCATAGCAACGGCCCAGGAAAGCCGCAGGACGGCCCCAAGAGAGCTCCAAAACGTGGCAAGAGGGCCCCCAAAGCCTGTCCGCACGGCCCATGCGGGGGACGATTCGGTCCAAACCGCCCAAGATCGCCGCCACACGGTCCCATGGGTGTTCAAGACGTTTGAAAACGCGACCACGAGGCGCTCCAAGAAGGCCTCCAAAAGCAAAAATCGTCCCATTCCTTAGGGAAAACGTACATTTTCAGAACGTTCGCTTCTTGGGCTTTCACGAGGCCCACAACGGCCCAATAAACCTCCAAGATCGACCCCCGTCACCCGAAGAGGCCCCCAAAAAGTCTCGAAGACGGCGTCCACGCGATCCACGAAGGCCCCAGAAACCATAGCAACGGCCCAGGAAATCCGCAGGACGGTCCCAAGAGGGCTCCAAAACGGGGCAA